AAAGGTGCATACACCTGAAGAAAATGATACTAATCTAAGAAACTTATTAAAAAAAGAATAAATATATATGATTACAGTTGGCATTCTGAAGAGGTATTTGTGGCAAAATATTTTATGTGAATAATTATAATATTAATCATAATTATTTATAATTAAAGGATTTATTGAAATATTTAGATAAACATTTAAAATCAATTCAAGCATTCCAGCTGACTTATAAATAATATCATAATTATTCATATTTCTATGATATGACTTTACTAAAAGGCTTGTCAAATTGGGCATACAGTTTGAAAAAAATTTTAGAATGTGAACAAGAAAAAGAGATAGGAAAAAATAAAAAATCAACAGATAAATCCAAAAAACAAAAAATTACTGAATATGAGAAATCATTAATGTATTTAGAAAGTGAGAAACAAACTGCGAAGTGTACAAATAGACAAAATTTGGGGGCAGTTAGGTTAAAAAAAAAAAGTGAAAAATCTCAAAAAATATTTGACAAGGTAAAACCAATTGGGGCTAGTTTTAAAAGAATCAAGTTGAGATTTTTAAAGGGAAAAGAAAAGCAAGTGGAAAAGGAGGAAGAGGAAGAAGAAGAAAATGATGAATAATTTAGTTAATTGATTTTGTAATTTTTTAATAAATTTCATGAAATTTGAATTTTTTGCCATAATAATTTTTTTGTTGAATTTTTTTTTACAATAATTTTTTTTATCAAATTTTTTTCCACAAGAATTTTTTTGCCAAATTTTTTTGCCATAGTATCAATTTTTTAAACAAATTTTTTGCCACAGTATTAATTTTTTTGTCAAATTTTTTGTCACAGTATCAATTTTTTTGCTATATTTTTTGCCACAGTATTAATTTTTTTGCTGAATTTTTGACTACAGTATGCAAATTTTTTTTTGCCACAGTATGCAAAAAAATTTTTTATGGAAATATTGCCAGATTTTGTACTGAATTTTTTTTTTACAGTATGTTGATATTTTTTGCTGATTTTTTGCCAATATTTTTAATGTTGAGTGATAACAATCGTAAATAATTTGATAATCTTTTTATTATTAATTTTTACCAAATTTAACAATAATTTGGCAGCTGAATGACACAATTTTGACTAGTATAGTTTATACTAAGTTTCAATTCTTTAAATACAATTGAAAATGTATTTCTTCAAAAGTTATTGAAAGATATTATAATTAATGAGAATTTCCATCACTTTCAAGATCTTTATACTATTACAGAATAAAAAAATTATTGGAGAATCTGATCTTTAGGGTAATGAAAGATTTATATCAATAAAATTCCTTTAACTAGGAGTGGTTGCTAAAAGGTATAATACTAAAACAATATAGTTCAATTTCTACTGGATCATATAAAAACCTGGGATCCATCTTAAATCTTCTTCTTATCATAGATTAATAAAAAATCACTGCTTTAAGAAGGTTGGAATAAAGTATATCTTAGAAGTAAAGGCTTCCACTAGGCAATAAGTTTTCTTAGATAGTTATAAGAAGAAAATCAAGATTTAAAATGAATAAGTTTCTCAGATAATCAGAAGAAAAAAGAATATTCTAATTAGACATTTTTTATTGAGAAGAAGTCTTGAAAAACAGGTTTTTGAAGAAAATTGAAGAATTTTATTTTTTTTTTATTTTTATTTTCTTATATGTTCACTTAAATATTTTTTGATATACTTTTCTTCTTTTTTTTTATTTTATTCTTTTATAGTTTCTTGTATTTCAGTATAATGATAGGTCCCCAAAGTATTTAGTATATAAAATTTCATAGATTACTTATGTCACTTTTAAGGAATAAAATTCATAGCTCTTCACTTTAATAAGGATAAAAGTCAGGAAATACTATAAATAAATAATATAAATAATAAAGAACAATTGTAGGTATTTTTTTTATAGTTTTTAATTTAAAAATTTTAATATTTTCTAGTGAGAAACATTTGACCTTTGTTCCTGCTTTCCTTTTTAGGAACCTATTTTAATTTTAGTAGCTTGATATAATATATAACAGTAACAATCTGCTGACAATAATGTAGTGAATTAAGAAGATCTTTATTTAAAGATATTATAGAATGAAATATTGTTTCCAAGATTGAACTTAAAGATTTATGCTTACAGCAAGTTAGTTAGATAAAATTAAAGTAGTTTAGCTATAGTATCTATTATGTTATTTAAATGAAAATATATTTATATTTTCAATTGATTAATAAACTCACAATCTAGCCTAGCTATAGGTACTCAAAAAAAAATTAGCTTTTATTATTATTATAATTGAAAATTTTAATTTTTTTATTGATAAAAAATTTATATTAATTAAATTTTTTTTAATTAAACTTGATTATTAAAAGACATTATAAAATTTATTGTAAATGAAATTAAAATAATATATATTTTTAAATATTAAAAATTTTCCAAAAAAATAATATATATCTTTAAATAAAATAAAAAATTGAAATTGAAAATAGATTAGTTTTATAAATTGTTAAAATAAAAAAATATATTTCAATAAAATAATTTATATTAAAAAAAAATTTTAAAAATATAAATATTTAAAGAATATTAAATATTATTTTGTTTAATTTTTTTTTATATATTTAATTACTTTTAAAAATTTGAGTTCACTTATTATATTTTTATAATAAATTTTAATTTTATCAATTTTTAAATTCTTAATTATATAATTAAAAATTTCAATATATATATATTTATTATGCTTTAAATTGATTTTATTTTTTAAAAATTTTTTAAAAAAATTTTTATATATAATTTTTAAAGTTTTATTATTGTTAAATATTTTCTTTCTTGATCAAATTTTTATTTTTGAATAATTTTGATTGATTATTATTATATAACATACAGTATAATAATTAATAAAAAAATGAAAATATTTAACAATAATAAAACTTTAAAAATTACATTTCCAAAATTTTTGAAAAAAATATAATAAATAAAACTAGTATTAATATATATATATATGAATTTTATAATTTTTGGTTGTATAATTAAAGATTTAAAAATTATCAAAGTTGAAATTTATAATAAAAACATAGTAAGTGGACTCAAACTTTTGGAAACAACTGTATATTATATATTATACTGCTTGAATAAATATTTATTTTTTATTTGATGAATTAATAATTTCTTAATTATAAATTATTTATAAAAAGTAAATAGTTATAAAAATATAGTATAAATAAATTGGTGATAAATTTATATATAAAAATTCTACTGTATATTAAAAAAATAATAATTGTTTATTTTATATTGTATAATATTTTATTTCATTTTAATATCTCAATAAATAATTTGTTTTTAATAAATAATAATAAAATAAAAATACTCAAATATATAAAATTATAATTATTTGTAAATAAAATAAATATGTATTGATTTTATGATATTATAAAATATAGATATGCTAAAATTCTTTATAAAAGAACGAAAAATCATAAAGTAGAAATTATCCAATATAGTTATAATCAAGTCGAAAAACTTTTTTTAAATCAAAATAAATATTATTTATTTAAGAAATTAATTTTTTTTTTACATTATACGGCATAACATGATTTGTTAACCATACAAAAAAATGACCTATTTTAGAGGGTTGCCAAGACCGCCGTGTGAAGACAAAGGAAATTCCAGAAAAAGTCAGCTGAAATTCTTTCGGAGTATTCGGATACCGATATGTCGATATTTGGAAGAAATTGTTACACTGTCTTTTGCTTATAAGGACATACATGGGATTTTGAAAAAGCCTCAGTTCTGAAATCATCTTTGTAAAAACGTTAGGAAAAATGTGTAATCATAGTAAGCAAGCACGTCACCTCTACCGCGAGATAAAACGTGCGGAAAAACATCGTCTTCGTCAAGAGAAAAACCGGCTCAAGGCCGAAAAGCGTGCTATACGTCAAGAATTACGCAACCTCAGACGCAACAGCGACCCAGCAGTGTTTCTTTTTCATCCAAACCCAATCTATACCGGTCAAACTTTCAATTATTATTCACAGATGCCGGGCATACAACAAACAGCCCAATTGAGACAAATGAATCCAGTGCAAGTAGAAGAAATGGTTTCGTCATTGAGAACAATGTTTCCGGATTGTGATCCTCAATATATCAGGAATTGCATTTCACAAGAAACAAGCGATCATATCCAAAAGGTTACCGATAAGTTGTTGGAATCACCCTATCCCAAGATCATTGTTAATTCATCCGCACCATCTGCTCCTCAATTGACGGTAGATGACTTTGAATCCGAACTGCCCTCTTATGAAGAAGCAACGATACGCCCAGAACTGGCAGAATCGGTAAAAAACGAACGTCGAGCATCGTGGGGCGGGTCACCAAACCAAGGCAACCATGACCACACCAGTGATAGCTATATCCACTCATTATCCTCCACCTCAACATCCTCAGATAATACTATCGCCACGGTTTCTACATCTTCCACCTCGGTTTCTTCTACATCCACGTCACATGATTCTTCTACCGCAAAACCCGCGAAGCGCTTATCAGGAATGACGGTGCAACAAGTTTGCGGTAGCTACTCATCAACACTTACACGCCCGGTTCCCACTCATCTCGCACAATCACCACCACCAAGCTTTACTCAATCTTTCGCAATCATACCCAAAGATGGCACCACCATTAAAAAAGGATTTCCCATCCATAGTTACCCAACGCCCACATTAGAGTCACATGACATATCGCGTCACGATTGGGAGAACTTCATTAAAGGATTAAACACGTTGGTGGGCGTGTCAAATTCCTCACTTGGTAGTTTGTCAGCAAATTTCAGATTGATGGTGATAGGTAATAATGATAGGCAGACGGAAGAATACGCCGGAATGGTGAATGAATATTTAAAAAGATGGAACGAAGAGTTCTTTAGACCTCGGAAGATAGAGATGGAGCTCGTCAGCAGGAAGGCGGTCAAAAGTGGAGGTGTGAGCATCTTTAAAAATAAGTCAGAGTGCGTTCAATATTTGCTGGTTAAGAGCGCATAAATCGATAATTTTTGAATAGGGATGTTTCGTTTATTATAACCCGTTCCTCTTTGTTATTCCGTCCTTTCTGCGTGTTCATTCTTGAAGTTTTAGGTTTATCATTGATTCACAATCACAATTGTTAAAAATGATGCTCCCCGCTAGAAACACATACCTCTTTATAAAGTGAACTCGGTTAACTTATGGGTTAGCCAATACAGTTTATTTTACTTTGAAAATCAAGTCCAACTCTTGTATTGTTATTAAAGAAAAAGAAAGACTTTGATTCTGATATATCGTATGAATAGAATTTAACTTGAATAATGAGAACATCTTTTTTTTTAGAATAAAACAATTTTTGATAACAATCAATTACATTATGCGGGAAGCATTCTTGTTTTTATAAAGCCGGGAACAAAACTTTGTACAAAAAAATCATTAATTGTAATCATTGGTGAGTAGTAAGTAGGATTTAACCTTGGCTAACCAGTTTAACATTTATAAAAAATTCTTTCACCATTGTAGAACTTTTTTTACGGTTCTCTAATAATATATCCAATGATTTATGAATAAAACTAATAGAACTATCGAAAACGATGTCCAAAATATATAATCTTCGTATTTCTTAATTTTAACAGCGGCGTTCTTATTATACGTCAAGATTGCTTCTCTTGAACCTTCCCAAGAGTTCCTTCCCAATAATCGAAACTTTGATATAATGATAATGATAAAACGACTGATCAAAATATTTTAAAACACTCGTGTAATAAGAATTGAAAGTAAGAACGCTCACCTGAATTGGCGTGGCAACGCCAAACATGATTAGTTTCCAAAAATTAAAACCAAATTTTCTTATTATCTCGAAAGAGTAGGGATAACATCCGATCTCTTTACTTAAAGAATCCAAATACTTTAGGGACGTTGTTTGAATGGTATGATGTGTAGGGTTTGTGTACATTTTACTATTTCTCTCATAATATTTCCGTATGGATTTGTCCATTTCGACAGGGGACGGATGTGGTTTAATGAAACCTCTTATTTGACTTGTAATATACCGTGCTTGCATTTCACTAAAAATAAAAAAATAAAAGATAAAATTTAAGGGTTTAACTTCAAAGACAAAAAAGAGTTATAAAACCCACCTAATAGGAAAGATAGCACCGGCTCCCACTACCAATCCCACGAAAGCTATATTTGGGTACCTCGGAGGAAACATCCTTTTATACATCCAAACCAAATCTTCCTTGTATTCCTTCGCATATTCCTTTTCAATGTCTTTGCCGCCCGTAATAATATCCTTTTCAAGAAACGGAAATTCAAGATAATACCCGGTTGAATATATAACAACATCGATATTCTCTAAAACAGTTCCATCAGCAAATTCAATTTTATTATTATCAGACTTGAGTTCTTTGATGTCCGGCTTCACTACGACTGCACCGGCTGCGAGACGTCTAAAGATTTCTGAATTTACAACCGAGTACGATGCAAACGGCGGTTCGTTAGGCTTTAGGTGGGGTGGATACGGTCCACTTTCTTCGGTGATGGCTTTTTCTGTTAATCTTCTTCTAAGGAAGAGAGGAGTCATATATGTATAAAAACGAGAACGATGATCGTAAGCCACTCCGCCAAAAAAATGCGATACGATCCACGGGAGTTTTCCTACAGAATATTTTACCCATGAAATTCGTGAAATATTAGAATTGCTAAAAAAATTTTGTTTTTTTTTTTTTTGTTTTTTTTTTTGAAATAATTTACCTTTCCGAATGCTCAAATAAACTTGCGATGCGACATCTGATAATTCAACCGCGACATCCATTCCACTATATCATGATGTTTCGTGTAAACCACTTATGCATTATAAATTTTATGCAAGAGAATTAATAATACCTATTTCCACCACCAACCACCAAAACGCGCTTGTTCTTAAAATCCGTTGGCCTGAATGCGCGCACAGGATAAATTAGTTTTTTCAAGAAACCAATGTTGAGAACTTGACAAAAAGAAAAGAAAGAGACTGTACAAACTCACTTTCTATAAAAATGAGAGTGCGTTTGTTCACCTCTAAACGCGTCCATTCCTTTGTATTTTGGCCACCTGTGATGGCGATGATGACCAGAACAGACCATCACGTAATCGAAAATTTCCTCTTCCTCCTTGTCCCTGCCTTCACCTCGAGCGGAATATTTAACTTTCCAACGTTTATCAGCGAGGATTGATACTTTTAATACCGTAGTATTTAATTTAATATGCGGTAAAAGATTAAATTTTTCAGCGTACATGTCAATATATCTGCATTTTAATAGATTTTAAAATTTTCAGTGTAGAGCTAGAAGTTGAGAATTCGTTGAAATATGATTAGCAAATAAATGTGTTCTTTTTTTGCTTACCTTTCTATGTAATAATGGCTCAAAAACGTCGGCCAATCTCTGGGGATTGGGAAATCTGAAAATGCCGTCTACAGGCAAAGCGAAAACGATCGTATTTAATATTTCATCATAGTATGAAAACGACCATGTTTACCAACACAAACCATTTCCTTAGAGGTGTTGGTTCTGATGCTTTCATATATCGATGAGTGCGGATCTTTATTCTCTCCACAAACTTCCTCATATCTCCAGAGTCCACCGATAAAGGAATTTTGTTCAAAACAGACTGGAACCAGGTCATTATCTAGACACTGTTCAATTGCCGTTAGACCCGAAGTACCTATTTAATAAAGTCAAATCATTTTTGCACTGTACCTTTGTGCATCATAAAACTTTGATCAATTAACTTTCTTATATTTACCAGCGCCAATAATTGCGATACGAAATTTTTCCATGTTCCCCAAGCAAAACGTTAAAAACGTTTGTAATTAGTCATCAAAAATAATTTACGTATTTTGGTAATTTAGAATAACGGTTAAATCGTCTTACCTTATTAGTAACGATTTTCCGGTCACACGACTCTAATAAACATTACGTTTACTTTCGCTCTGTAAAACACACTTGTAAACGTTTTTGGACCAAAGCAGATATGTACT